TATGAATACTCATGCCATGGAGTAAAGTTTTTAAATGTAATAACCACTATCTGCTATTTACATCATTTCCCTCCTCCCCCCTCCCCCCCCCGAATATTCAGGATCGGAAGCGTATTAGGCTGTATTTTCTAATTGTCTCTGTCTACTCAGGGTACATATGTAAAATGTTGGCATATGAATACTAAAGTTTGGCAGAGATATTTTCTTTTTGATCTTTTCAAGTCCTAGACTCCTTTTTCTCTAGTTTATCTTCCTCCTGGTTTATTTATGTGCTGGATACCCACTGCCTCCCAAGTTAACTGTCAGAGCCACACTGTTAGAAGTTGTAGGGATGAAGGTGGCCAGGGTAGCACGGCTGTGGATTCCTCGTATAGTTTGGCCTTGGAAAAATTCCCACATTTGTTGTCACACGTAGCCCAACCCTGAAGCTGGTGTGGTGTGCCTGGAGATTGGTCCAGGTGACTTCCGGCTGCTCTCCCTGGTAGCTCTACTTTCCTCCACCCTGCCCTCCCACTCCTCTGGGTACACACTGCAAGGCCAGAGATTGTACTGTCCTTTGAACCACTGACAAAAGGAACCCATTGTCTGCACCTTGGGCACCAGGAGTGTTGACCAACTGGATGTCACTTTTATAGGTGGCATTGTACTTGGAAGCTGACTGCCTTAGGAACTGAAGAAACTGGCTGGTAATCAATATGGTTCTTCCCGTGCAACACACCCTCTGCATTTTCCTGTTGAGAAATGGGCCCAGATGACGTCTCCATATATGATAAAGGCAGTCTCTTAGCCTTGCATCACTTTTGCTATAGGCTTTGCTGCCTCCTGGCTCTCCTCAGAGTCTGGCCTCAGTGTCCATCTGTGCATGTCCTGCTCTTTCCTAAGTAACGAGTGGACTAGGATCTCTGACTGAGGATATTTCAGATGAGACCTGCTGTCTGTGTTGCCAAGAATATCCGTCATTCAGTTGGAGGGAGGGCGTTGCCGCAACCACAATTCTGCCATTTGCATTTGCACAAGATAAGGTATTCCGGGCAACCAGGTGGAATCCATGTTTGCATTAGCACATCCGATAGATCCAGCCATTCTGATTCATAGTCGTTTTAATTATTAACTCTAAGAACTGTTTGATCTCACATGTGAAATGGAGATAATAATACGTGTCTCCTAGCGTGAGTATTAAATAAGACGCTATGATAAAAGCTCTCTGTATAAATCCTGGCTTGTGGGGGCCTTTCTCCTGGGGTGAGTGAGGGCTCCTTTGAGGAGTCCCCACTGAAAGGCAGAAAGGTTTCTGTGACTGCTGCGGTCTTCTGGGGAGGCATCGCTGACATCTCTGGTGGGGGAGGGGTTGCTGAGAGTCAAATTTGTAGCTGTTCTGCATTTAGTGGTAATATTAAATATTGTATGCAGACAAGGCCCTTCCAGCAGCTGGGTGAAGGGCTTCCCCTTCTCTCACAGGGATTTAAAGCTATTCATAGCAGGAAGGAAAGAGGCACTGCTTGCCTCAGTACCTGTCTCTCTCTCTTCTCGTACCAACCACAGCCCTGCCAAGGCCTGACAGTGTCCCAGGGAGTCAGGAGGCTCTATCTGTCTTTGCTAACGTCCTTGATGACCAGGGTATTCTCCTCACTTCTGTCTCTACTAGCAAGATCAAGCAAGACGACCAGAAGCCACATCTTTAAGAGCCACTGAAAGTCTTTCTGGATCAGTGGGGATTTTTAGGTCACATGACTCTTTGAGAACATGGAAAAACCCCTCACCCAAAAGTCTGTACACAATTTCCAGTGGCTCATGGAAGCCCCACCACACCCCCAGGTTAAAAACTCCTGGTCTGGAATGGTTCTCATAGCTCTTTGGAGAGGATGCAGAATTAACCAGCATGTCACTTAGATGACAATGCTTGTGATCAGTTTATGGCCATGAAAGAAGGATATTTTCCTGCTGAAATATTTCTTTCAGGTAGTTGGAGTTTGCTTGAAAACAGAGAAGGAGTAATTAATAAGATCATTTTCTGTTTTACGTAGGCAAGCTTTCAAGGCTGAAATGAGTGGAGTGAGTCCTGACTCTACCTCTCCCCTGGTGCCAACCCTGCCCTGTGCCCCAGGATTCCTGCCTCTCCTGGGCATTCCTTGGTGCCTGCTTCATCCACTCAGACATTTGGTAACCTTTCTAGGTGGCTGATAGGCGTGGCGTGGCATTGTAAGAATGCACTGTAACTCTGTCAATTCCTGCCACTAGGGACTAGAGAAGAGGAGATATAGGCGGAAGGTAGAATCTGGGAGGACGCAGAAAGTCTAAAAGAGGTAGCTGGGCAGAGACGGCATGGCATCCAAGGGCCTATAACAGGCATGGTTCTAATTCTGGAAATGGTTGGTATCAGTATCCAGTAACATGGGCCAGCGAAGTGTGAAGGAGCCAGGCACATGGGAGGTGGTCTTCTGGGAAATCTAGACTTATGTGGAAGCCCTAGTCTTGGGCAAGAGCCTGAAGGGCTAAGCAAGGAGCAAGGGCGAGGTGGCAGGAGCATCAGGCAGAGGACATCCAGGCAGGACATAGGCTGAAGCCCAGCTCTGCAGCCAACTTGGTGTGGGGCGACCCAGACCCTGGGGTGGGACACAAGATCCCCAGTCAGGCTGTCTGGGACAGGGGTGGGACATCAAGAGCTCCGTATTTCTGGATGGATCCAGGAGACCCCTGGGTAAGGGCCGAGTGGGCAGATGCTGTGGACACACATGCTGCCTGTTAGAACAAACAGCTCCCCACACGACAAAACTCTGGAGGAGAAAATCATCTGAGACATCTGAGCAAGTGTAATTAAAACCATATGTGCAATTTTAAAATGTAATTTTAAAAATGTAAAGGCTAAACTATTTTAAGGCTTCAAAAAACCCTCTTAAACTCTGCCTTTTTGTTCCCTGGCTTTCAGGGTTCAAGAGTCACCGTAGTACTAGCTGGGGCTGGTCAGCGGCTCAGGGTGGCACTGTCCACGCTCCTGGTAGGGGTGGTTCCTGTAGCTTGATGATTGGGTGAGCTAGATTAAGGGTGCAGCTGGGCATGTGGCCTGCAGAAGGAACAAATGGGGGAGAAGAAGCTTATTCCTTCCCATTGTGTGTTGGGTGCCAGGTTCTTTCTGTGTGATCTCACCTGATCCTCACAAAAACCTAGCAAGTTAGAGGAGGAAACTGAGGCTCAGAGAGGTTAACACATTTCCCAAGGTCACCCAGCTTGCTAGTGGTGCAGTGAAGTCTTGAACGCACCCTGGCTCTCCCTCTATCTTGCTATTTCCCAGCGTCACTTTTAAGACATGCACATATGTGTTTCACAGCTCAGTTTTGGAAGATGTCATTTTGCAGAAGTGCTTGTGAAATGGGAGAGCTGGTGGCGGTGGAGACGGGAGACAGTGCAGCTGGTCCCGGCTGGTGAGCCTTTGCCATTTTGCTTTACTGATGCCCCTGAGCCTGTCCCTCCAGTGCTCTGCATGGGAGGGGCCTCTGAGGGGCTTTTGTGGTCACTGTTATCAGTTGCTCATATAACTCACACTTACCAAAAGTGGAATGAAGGGGAAAGAGCAACATGTACAGTAAGGAAAACCTAAGAGCTGTGATGACCAAAGAAACAAATGACTGTTCTGGGTGTGATGCCTGCATAGTGAGTGTAGAACAGAAGGGAGCTTGGGAGGTGGGTGGCAGATCGTCTTGAGTGGCTAAGACTCCCAGGGGTGTGTGGTAGGCTTCCGGGGATACAGGACTCCCTGAAATTAGATGTAAAACACATTACAAGTATGTGCCTTTTGTTCTGGGAGGAGGGTCCACGGTTTTCATAGCCTCTCAAAGAAGATTGAGACCCTAGAAGGTGTGAGTCCGCTGTTTGAGATGTTGTGATTATGCCCTGTGCATCTTCTTTTAATTTTGCTTTAATGCCAAAAAACAGAAAACCAAGCTTATATGATGTAGGACTTCTGAAGCGATACCAGGAAATGGTGGGGGAGGGATGGGATGTGGTAGCACAGAAGGCCGAGTCAGGACTGGGTGCTCACTTAATTTTGCTTCACATTATCAGTGATATGATGTTCATAGTCACTTAGAGAAACAGAAATTTGTGGGAGGACATAAGGCCCAGTAGAGAAAAATCTGTGAACACTGTCCTAAGTCTCTTTGTTTATGTGCTAGGCAGATCAATACCACTTCCGGACAGAGACCATTTAACAGCCATACTCTTTCATCCCCTTGAGGAATCTGGGAGGTGGTGGGGCGGTGGGGGGCGGTGGGACTGTCAGACTGAGATGTGTACAGCAAAGACTCGTAAATGCACCCTCTGAGTTTGCCAGTGCAAGCAAGCATCTTGTGCACAGTGATACACAAAGTGGCCCAGAGAGCTGCGCTGGTGTTTCCTGCCCTTCCTCCGAGTCCAGTTTGCATTCCTTTCTGGAGCAAGAAATATATCACATTTGCATGTAGGGAGATGTGTTGAGCTGTCTTTGACAGCCTGCAGAGCTTGCTGCCAAGCCTGGCGTGAGGCGGTGCCCTCTTCCCTGAAGGCCTCTCCTCTAGCCCTGTTGCTTGTTATGTGAGGGTGAGTGCTCTGGGACACACGAGCTCCTCCCCTAACCCCTCGCCTCCTGGTTTACTGTGCGCAGAATCACATAAACAGGCTAGGTGCCTGGGAAGCTTTGGGAAGCAGGCTTGCTGATAAACAGTCCCCTTCTCTGGCCCAGGGCCTCCCAGGTAGGTGTCGAGCCTGCAGAGGGGGTCCTCTGAGATTCAGGATTGGGCCCGTCCAGGTTAATCTTCCCTGCTTCCTAAGACACCAGGAGAAACGGGGTTGGTAGCATCGGTCTTACTCCCTATCTCCTTAAAGCTGTCTTTGTTCCCTGAGAGCCCGATCACTGGGGTTTAGTGAAGACAAAAAGCCAGGAAGGATAGATCTTTCTACAGAGGTGAAGAGTCTCAGTGGTTGCCGCGAGAGCTTGAGTTGTTTTGACCATGATGAATGGTGTTCACCCTTTGACTGACCTTCCAAGTGAGTCTCTGTGGGCAAGGACGAGCCAGGCCTTGCAGCCTTGGAGTAGTGCCCTCTAATACTTGACAATGACCAAGAACACCTCAGTGCATGTAGAGTTCAATGCTTTAATTCTGGGCTGGCTTTGGGAAGGGAAACAGGGGGCGTGGGCAGCCCTGTTTTCCTGACTGCCCTGAAACAGGGAAAAGCAGATACCTGGTAGGCACATCTTTCTCACAGACCTCTCCCCTCGTGCCACATCAGAAAGCATGTCTACCTCACTGGTAACCTGATCTTCTAGTAGGGACTGGGGCACTTTGGGAAAGGGACTCCGTACTCGCTTTCAGACCCTCTCAGCCCAAGGACTGTTGCCTATAGGAAGCATGTGTCTGTGAAATATGGCTAGCAGGCAGCTTCTGTTTCCATGGTTACTAAATAGGGCAGGTTAGTATTAGGGCTACCCAAGGAAACAGTGGCATTGAGGGCAATGCTTGTGCAGGGGCCTTCCTCCGGCCTGCTTTTACCCACATCCCAGATGACGTGGGCAACATGTGATCTGAGGTAATGGGGATTTTCCTCAAGGGTCCACCTACCTGCCCAGCCCTGATTATTTTCACAGGTGTTTCCCTTGGTGCAGAGAAGAGAGCCTCCAAGGTGGCCAGAAGGGGTCGCTAGAGAGCACAGAACTTTCTCAGAGCTCCTCTGCCTGCTCAGCCCCTCTGTCCATCAGTCCCCAGGAGTTGCCTTAGCCACAGTGAACCCTGTCCCAGGAAGAGCATGGTGTTTAGAAAACCCTGAATCCAAATTTGACTGGTCCTATATCACATGTACCAAATCACCAGAGAGTGACCTGCTGCCCCAGCGTAACAAATCACAGCCTTTTCATGAGAGGGTGTAACAGGTTTAATTATAAAACATTTAAAAAATCTCTTTCTTGTGTTTCCATGTGATCAGATACCAGGTTCTGCAGTCATAAGCTGGAGTCCCTGGTCCTTTGTCTGTTCTCTGCTGAGTGACGGGCAGTTCTGGTCCTGTGTTGCTTTGTAACAAGAATAGAATAATCATTGTGGGGAGAACGTGGGAGAATTGATCAGTGTGGTTGGGAGACATTTAAAAGCATAACAAGTCAGTGAAGGGCACTTTGCAAATTCATGCCATTATCATCTTTATTTGCAATAACAGCATGTTATTTTAGTCTCTTTCCTTGGCCATTTTGGGAGAAAATTGATTAAAACCTTTGAACTCTGCTTCAGAAATTATTTTTGATGTGGAACAAAAAAATAAAAAGTGCTTAGGAAACAGCTACCTAATAAGATTAGTCGTTCTTTAATCCTGAGAGAACCAACTTTGGGGACATTTTGGAGACATTTCTCAGAGTAAACAGGGAAAGGCTCAGGTGACAACACCTGTGATTCTGCTGGCACCTGGGATCTTTTATTTTGCCTTTACCCTGGCCCTGGAGCACTCAACTACATAATTCTATGAAATTACATGTCTGGGTTATTTGCATATTTTCTTTCAGGAATGCACTTCATTCACACTTTCTGCGGGTAGGGTATGGAATGCAGAGGCTTTGGCTGACTAAGCTCAGTGAATTTCTGTGCAGGATTTAAGGAGCTGCTTCTCTGCTTTTGAGGCTGGGGACCGACCGGTTCTTTTTTTAGCCTCTTGGAGAGTTTCTTAGCCTGAGGGGAAGAGGAATAGCAGGTGAAAACTGAGCCCCTTACCTGTTGGCCATTGGCCTGATTGATGAGTCATCCCCACAAAATTGCTGGAGCCACAGGCGCTGGCTGCTCTTGTGGATTTACCCTTTGAACCCCATCTAATAGAGATGAGAGCAAACAAAGAACTGCTTCCTCATGGATACAGTTCCTGGATCTTGGAAGACAGTATTGACCCATCAACTGGATCATCTCTAAGGGCCCCTTCAGTTTAAAAAAAAAAAAAAAGACCCCAAACCCATGAGTTCTACCACCTTTGGTGTTTGCTTTCAAGTTCTCAGGTAGGTGGGCTCCCCAGGACCCAGAAGTTCCCAGGACTGCACATCTGACCTCCAGAACCATGGAGGAGAAGGAGTGAGAGAGGAATCCAAATGAGGGAGCAGAAAGGAAGTCAGCCCCCCTAGTTGTTCCTGTGGTGGCAGAGCCTTTGTAGATCTAGCCCCACGTTGGATGTGTTTATTAGGCCGAGCCTCTGCTCCTGTCTCTCCTTCACACAGAAGCTGCTCACCAGGCATTGAATAAACAGTTCTCCATCTTCACAGGCCAACTAGACCTAGTCCAAAGGCCAAAGCCTCCTGAGGATTTGACACTTATTCCATTGAATGTTTCTCATACCTCCCTCATGCCTCATCTGATGTTGTTCCTTTCTGGACTGAATAGATGCTCTTCTCTCTCATTGCAAGTTTCTGCCTGTGTGAAGTTTTAGAAAGCTTAGGACACATTCCATTTTTGGATGTCCAGAGCCACAGAAAGTTAATATTTGAGCAGGAGAGGAAGAGCTACAGGGAAAAATCTGGGTTTGATATAAAACCAAAAAAACTTAAAAAAAAGAATCAGTGAGCATCCACTCTTACTGGAATGAAAGAAGAAAAGCAGTTATTTCCTTTCCCCCCTAAAGGCATTTAGGACACTCTTGGTAGGGGGTGAAGGCCTCTTAGCGCAGAAGAATCCCTCGATCTCACTGGACCTGAGGCTCATGTGCTGGATCTGGGTTATGCAGAGTGGGCAATTAAAGTGAAGATGGGCAATTAAAGTGAAGTGTTCAACGTGGAGGGGAGTGAGACAGACAGTTGGGTCAGAAGAGACTATACAGCCTGTCCCCCATCCTCCCAGCAGACTGCTCGGCCAGGTGGGGAGGACATGGGGCACTCAGGGTGTTTGCTGACAGACTTGCTAATTAAACACCAAGAGGCAATATTGCTTTCCCAGTAATGATGGCCATGCCAACGTTATCAGCTGTAAGCTGGCTGCCAGGAGCATCCTAATTAAAAATAAACAGTTCCAGGGTGGGCTGGGAGAGTGGGGACAGGGATCCTACCTGGGTTCCTTAGAACTTCTAGGATTGCTCCTCGGGGAAAGTCACACCCTGGTCGCATTTAGGTCCTTTATTCAAAGGAGTCTCTCTCTCATCGCAAGGTGGTGTGATGTATGCTTCCTTAACCCCTAGGTGTTGGGGTGACAAGCAATCAGACAAAGCCTCTAGGAGAAGATTGCCTGGTGCCTGCAGCCCTGGGAGGGAAAGGCTGCTCTAGGGGATAATGATTTCTTCTGGGTCTCTAAATTGAGGGGACAGCGAAAGCCCAAAGCCTCTTCTAAAAGAGGTTAGAATTTCATCAGAAAGCAAGTCTGGTCACATGAGAATTTCTGGCACTGTGTGCATGGCAGGCTGGACACCAGCCTGCCAGAATTGAGCGAGTGGATCGTATTGGCTTCAGCGGAGGGGAAAAGTCCCAGCCTGGCCTGGGAGAAGGAGCTGGCTCACTCCCCCCAGCGTCCGGACTGTGGGCAGGAGGAGCACAGCTGCTGCGGAGAGACTGGGGCTCCAATGCCCCGAGCCCCCTTTCTTTCAACCCTAAAGAAAGTGTGTGGTCCGGGGACTGAAGACTGAAAGATGCCTAAGGAATGCAATGCTTTCCACACCCTCTCGGCAGCTCTGTGCTGCTTCTATCACCGCAAGTCTTTCCTTGGAGTCAAGGTAGGTGTGGTTTTGAGATAAGGTACATCTAAAATTTTTTGGGGGGGGGCCTTGAAAGCATTAGTTTTCTAAAAGGCGCTAGAGAAAGTTTGCAGACTGCTGGTGCTAAAAACAGAGGTGCTTCTTTGACGGATCTTCATAAGCCCCTAGAGGTGCACCTCCCCTGGAGGCAGAATTCAGTCCCACAGAAGGGGGCTCCTGATCTGTGTTTTGGGATGAAGCACTATTTTCCAGGACATTTTCAGTCTCCTTGGGCTGAAATTTTATGCCAAAGACAGAGCTGTTTTTCTTCTTTCTCTTTGTCTCTATCTCTCTTCCCTCATTCGTAATGCACGGGAGATGGCTGAGCCCCTCTCTCCCCTTAACCTTCTGGTCCATTATGTCAATAATATCTATAATGTACAGAAACCACCAAATATCTCCTTTCAAATCGCAGCCAGGCTCCGAAACATTTCAGTATTCAGAGCTGTCTATTTCTTTCTGCTCCCATTTTTAACCTTTGTCACAAGACCAATGCCAAAGGTTTTGCGTACTATGTCAATACACTATTTCAATGAAAATATTCAAAGAACCTCCTCTGACTAACTCCCGATGTGGCCTGTGTTCTATGTTGCCCGCCTGTGACAACACTAGGAGTTAAGATTAATATAGGCTCTCATTGATCTGGGGTTTGTCTGCCTTGGGAAAATCCTGTCAGCCCCAGTGTAACTGTGGACCTCACTTATTCATGGGAAATAAGAGCCAGAACGCTCTCAAGGAATTCTTCCCACCCTGACAGCAGAGCTCCCTCTCCCGAGGGATGGACTTACTCGGTGCCATTGAAAAAGCCACAACAGGGTTATGCTGTCCTGCTTCTGTCTTCTCAATAATGCTCTAAAAAAGATTTTCTCAGGGAAATTTAACAGGAAAACTTGACAAGGGGAGAAAGACCCCTGTGTAGAAAAATTCTATACACTCAACGAGTTTACGGCCCTGTTGCAGTGTTCAGAGTAGCTTTCTAACCATTCAGCAAAGTTCGTTTCAGTCTCCGTGTCAAGAAATTGGGAGGAGGGTGAGAGATTAATCATTGGTTAAATGTGTTTTCTCCCTGAGTTAAGAGCCCCTTTCTATCCTGGAGCCCAGTGGGGTGATATGAGGACCATGTGGTTTCTGGCCTAAATATGGATTGTTCTCTTGTGGGGCAGATGAAGTCATACCATTAGCAGTATTTTAAAGCTGTCAAAGATAAACCAGGAGGTCCCAAAGGGAAGCGTGTACTTCAGGGATTGGCAGTAGGTTTTTCACTCTAATAGAAGTCCTTTCATAAGCCAACTTCTGCTAATTTAGAAAAGAGTGACTCAGCATCTGGTATGTGAGGTAACAGCCCATAAATATCTGGGTCTGAGTGATGAGGTTCTGTTTGGATACCCCTGCTCCTCTGCAGTTATGTCCTCCAAGGCCTGCACAGAAAGGCACAGTAATGTATAGGGTTAGTCTCAACCAGCCTACTTCAGCCAGCCTTTCCCGGCCTCTCCACCATGCGCTATTGGTTGACTGTTGGTAGAAACGCCCTCCTTTCCGCTCAGAGTTCCTACCCCATCCCCAGTTTGTTGCATCTTCATAGCATAGAGAGAGGGCCTGACCTGCTCCCTCAACCAGAAACTGGAGCCTTCAGACCCAACTTAGAGTTTCCCACGGACCCTCAAGATATGTTTCCCTGTCTTGTTTTGCTTAGTTACCTGGGAAAGAAAATCCACCTGTGCTTAAACCCCTCCTCCTGCCAGTGTTGCCCCAATGATAACACTGCGTCACTTTATTGACTCCCACTTTAATTAGGGGTTTCAGGTCTTGCTGCTCCTAATTAGTTTCTGTTGCAGTTAGAGTTTCAAAATTAAATTGGGATTGATTGCCTGATAGCAAAGCGGAAATAAAGCTCCAATTCTTGACCATGTAGGCTGCTTCCCTTGGCATGAATTTCTCATACCAAAAATAACACTGCAGTAACCATGGTAACTTTCCATTTGGTCTAATCCATATCATCTCTGGAGAAAGTCGAGTGTTATTAATAGTGTTTGTTGTATGGGAAGAAAACTAAAAATATAAAAGCTCCTTTGCGACATAAGAGACCAATCACACTGGTGCTTTCAGGGAATAAGATATTTGCTGAGATTTTGCAGAATTTAGGATGCACTTGGGGCCTCAACCGGACACATATACAAAGGCCCTGGGAAGGAATTAAATGGGAGGCCAAGATTGGAGAGCAGTATCAAACATGTGCAGTCGTTGCTGGCCCTCATGGAGTTAAGCCAGAGATGAGATGTTCCAGCTACACTGAGGGACATGACTTTAGCGTCCCAGAAGAGGTTTCCAGTAGGCAGTCATTTCACAAAACACCACTTGATCTTGGGTGAGAAAAGGAAAGGATATTTTGCTTATGCCCAATGGAAAAGAATTTGGAACGGAGATATTCCACATCCATAACATTACTGGATCCCATTCAAGTTCAAAAGTCCCTGAATGTCAAATACAGTAGCCCCATCAGTGTGTAAGCACTCTGTTGGGTGTGCGTGTGTGTATGTCAGGGAGGGCGGGCGGGGTGGGGGGGTGATAAGTGACAGCTGAGCATGGCTCCTGCCTCTGAAGGACTTAACCACAGAACATTAGGTCCTGGTGTCGTTTCGTTACATTTGCAAAATGCTTGGTCCAAGGTCTGAGTTCTTTCACAAGTTGTCTCACTGGAGTCTCAAAACAAGGTCTCTGGGTTGGTCAGAGCAATTGTTTACCCCTTTTCACAGAAGAGAAACTGAGACTCAGAAGAACTACCTGGCCAGATTCATTTGGTTAGGCAGCCAGGAGTAGAAATCAGCGTTTCTGGCCTCAAGCCCAGTGTCCTTCCTACGATTCCATATTAAGACCATAGAAACCTGAAACAAGATAATACGAGGTCTGACAATTAAGTTCGCGAACTCATCCTAGAAAAAGTGCTACATACGCCATTGCTGAATATCACTATGGTCACCTTCAAAGTACTCCCCTTGTAAGCTATGCACCGACGCCAGCACCTAGTCCACCCTTCAAGCAATTTTGGAACTCTTTTTCTGGAATGGCCATCAGAGCTATTGTATTACCCTTGATTTCCTGAATGTCATCAAACCGTCTTTCTTTCAATATTTCCTTTATCTTTGGGTAAAGAAAGAAGTTATTGGGGGCCAGATCAGGTGAGTAGGGAAGGTGTTCCAATACAGTTATTTGATTAGTGGCTAAAAACTCACTCACAGACAGTGTGAGCTGGTGCATTGTCGTGATGCAAGAGCCATGAATTGTTGGCGAAAGTGCAGGTCATCTAACTTTTTCATGCACCTTTTCAGCACTTCCAAATAGTAACCTTGGTTAACTGTTTGTCCCGTTGGTACAAATTCATAATGAATAATCCCTCTGATATCAAAAAAGTTTAGCAACATCGTTGCAACACGTTTGTGAACTTAATTGTCAAACCTCGTTTATTAATACTTTAGTTTGCAATTCAGTTGGGAAAGAATAGTGTGAACTTCAGTTTTAAGTAAGCCTGCAGGATTCTATAGGCTAGGTAATGCTCCTTCAGGCAGTGGCAGGACCACCTTAACTCCCTAGTGAATTACAGAAGGAATTTGGTAAGAAGCACAATAGATGACATTTCTGCATCTGGCAATGAGAACAAATCCCATTTCTTCTGGTCCCTCATGTCTCTGATTTTTCTTGTGTGTGGACAGGGGAAAAAAGAGCTGAAATTTGCCTTCTTATCAATGACTACTCCTGAGAAAAGTTGGTGTGGCTGTGTCAGAAAACTTGATGGGAACCTTGGAGACAGGAATTACCTTGCAAGTGCAGAATAGACAGTTTTCTAAAAGAGCATAAGCAGACAGGCCAGAGTATGGGGTCTATGGATAAATGAACCAGTAAGTCTCGAGTAACCAAAAGTCATCAACTCCAGTGGCAGTCGTCTTGTCAACAAGAAGTCATGGTTAGAAGGCTATTGATTTTAAACAACCACTTTCCCGCACACACAGCTTGGACTATCCTTTGCAGCCACAAGATGCTGTGTATAGTAGGAAGAGCTTACTTAAATCATGCTGTTGCTGTTGTTGTATTTTGTTTAGCTTTAAATCATTTCCCTTGTCCTGCTAAAAATATTTGGAGACTCTAAATATACATTACAGCTTGAGGTGTCCCATTTGCCCATCCCTAGAGGGTTGGGTCCCTGGAGCTTGTTTTTATTAGAAATCACCTTTTTATGTTGGAGTGTATGGTGGAGCAAAGATTCCAATGTCTTCCCTGTGGCTGGTCCCTCAGTCTGTCTCCTATTGTGACAGCTTGGGTACTAGTGACATATCCTGGTTTCAACAATGGCCTAAGTGGCCTTTGTCAGTGGGGATGATGTACCATCAACCTGTGCAAGGTAGAAAAAGCCTTTCGGGAAATATCTTTCCAAATGACTGAGCCCCTCCTCTTACTGGCTGCGAGTTGCTCGTTTATAATCCTGCCCTACAAACAAAAGCCCAGCACAGCTTTTTTTTTTTGCTTTTTTTTTTTTTTAAGAGACCTAAATGCATTCCATGG